CTACCTAAACCCTGCCTCTCCCTACTTTAAGATAACCCTTAGGATACTAACCTCATCATGTGCACACTCCGCTGAACATATCTTTACAGTCATCTGTGACTGAGGACTTTTCATCAGTTTTAAAATTCTGCGCTGAATATTGGGGGCCGTCTTGTCAAAGCTTGACTGTAAAAAGAGGATGTGCATTATGCCCTTGGAACAGTTTCTAATATACTGTTACTTACGGCCTCCCAAAGTTTTAAATCAGCAAAAACTTAAGACACAAAAACAGTTCATTTACACGCAAGGAGGTTAACTTTTCAACTGACATTCAATTTTTCTTTTCCCAATTTGCCTTTGAAATTAGTGACCCTAATCAAACAAAATCCCTGCAGTTTGCCAATAAGAAATGTCACCAACAAAATAACCATTTTATACATAACAGAGGTATACTAACCGCACATTCTTTGTGCAAGATGTTCCTCATACAAACAAAAGGATTGTACCGTGATGTTTCACTCTTCATCATTCCAAGCGCAACTCGGAACAGTAGTAGCTACACACAACAAAACAAGTAGATAAATGCAAACATTTGAAACAGGATTGTTGTTCTTAAAAACCACACATAGTGTTAAAAGGAGAAAAATCGCCGAAAGAACATTAACTGTACCCAGCTGTCCTCCTCATGGGAAAATGAGATTCTTTCGTTTACTTTCTTGGCCAAAATGTTCCTGTCTTCGTCATCGATCGCATCTATGATGGCAGAGTAGGATAAAAACTGTTCACAAACATTTGTATTTGAGTAGACACTTTATGGCCTCATTAACTGGTGATGCAGACACCGCCGATGCCTAACAGCGATGTAGGCATCGTAATCTACCTTGCTATGATAAGTTTCAAGCAAATTTATAGTGGTAATTCAACTGAGTGGCGAGCTATTTGGTTTGAAACCACAAAAATATGATTTCAGACCATTTTGCATAATACAAAGTTTAGTTGCATAACATTCGTTTTAAAATCGCATAATTTAATTGCCTTAATACAGACTTTTGGTCAGTATTGATATTTCATTTATTCAGTGGCGAAAAGAAAGAAAAGAAAAAGAATGCGAAAAAGAAATTTAAGTTTTTGTTTTGTTTTGGTGTTCCAGTTGCGATTTAGAGAGAAGCCTGCGCACATCGTGAATAAACCACACCTGCGAAATCACAGACTGCAAGTACCACCTCAAAATGAATGTGAAAAATAAAGAGAAAAGAAACCACGAGTGGCATTAACGTTGTGATCAGCAGTTGTCAGTCAACATACTTAGATGGCCAGTTTTACAGGAATGTTCTTCTTTTCTTTTGGTCTTCTCTCGAGCATTTCCAGCTTGTTTCTTTTCAGCGGTGTTAACAGTTTTCATTTTCTTTGCACTGGCAAGTTCTTTCTCACCCTCTTGTACATCTGTGGTGAGAAGCACAAAAACCGCATGGTGACTAACTGACTAATCAAACCTTTAACCCCCAAGAACGACTGACATCTAATTTCTCCTTACAATGTCACCCCTAAATCAAACGCAAAGGTCACCAGAATAAAAGAAAATGATCACCAACTAAAGACGCTCTTGATTGTTAAACAAATTCTCCTTGTCAGCACCATAGGATATGTACAGAGAACAGTATCGAGAATATGCATACTGATGTTAGTGTGTAACGGGTCAGTTGGGAATGGCACTACTGCCATGCTGTAAGGAAAGCTTTAGGTTAGCTTTAGAGGACAAATTCAACAAACTGACGATCAATTTAGGACTCCCTGAGCAGAAGATCTTCAAATATAATGTTTAATATTTACCATCTGTTTTCCTTTTACGCTTCTTTTTCTGTTGCTTAATCTTTTCTTTGTGTGCTTGCTGTTTCATTTCAGGTTTTCCGATGCTCCAGAAAGTTTTTCCTCCTTGGTTACCAGCAGTATCAGTGTTCTGAACACTCTCACCACTTGCTGCACTAGCTGATGCTTTTGGTATTTTCCTGCAAATAAGTACGGAAGTAAAAATGGTGAGCGTTAAATACACTCTAACATCTATTATTATACCTCTCAGTTCGTACATGCGCTATGATTGGTTAATTTAAGGAATTTTGAACAATATTTCAACTTTCTCTCGTCCTAGCTTTAAAGATTTCCCCCCACAATCGATATCCTAAAATACGTTTTTTTGTCACAAACATCTTTTCCTCTGAACATTTTCCCTTCTTTTTGTGTGAATGGAGCATAAGATAATTAGGTTTTACTGATTTCTTTTCAATAACGCGATAGACTTCACCGAGAAGGAGAGACTGCTCGTAGTCTATATTTAACGAACGGTATTTCACTGTACGGCTCGCTAAATTCCAAAGTTTGTTGATTTGAAATCTTCCTTCTCTATTTGAACCCAGCGAAATGGTTAAAAATCTTACTAAATCCGCTCGGATGTAAGGCCGAGTCAAGCAAAAAAAGTTACCTTAACATTAAGTTCTTGCAAAACTGTCAAAATGGCTTTTATTTAACACTAAAAGAAAGATCCAATTAATTAAAAAAACCCACCGAAGAGGAACTTTATACGTCCATTGCTCGTCAAAAACTGCGCCCCAAATCGTTGCAACAACCGATTCTAAATGTGTAATTACTTATTACAAGAGAGGTATAGATGACTTTCTAACCGTGTTGACGCTGTCATTACTCGTGTCCAGTTCCTCTTCAAGTGACTGAAAAAACACCTGTCCAGACCAGCAGCACCTAGCTGATCTCCGGGGGGAAGATCCACTTTGTCTTCATCTACTTCTTCTTGAGCGAAGTGGAAAAGTCTTTTGTTCTTCATAGAAGACATACTTTGGTCAGGAGCTCCTTCATCGACCTTTACTACACCTGAGATATTGAGACATGAACTGATTAATGTTGTAACTAGCGACAATTACTGTTTATATGACAAGCTAAAATACGCACGCAGTTTGATTGGTTCTTACTTATGATCTATCGGAGGATAGACGCATAGATGACGTTACCAATACCAAATGTTTGCTTTGTAATCAACAAAATATTTTCTCTGTTGTCGTACACAGTAGTAGATCACAGCAGAGATCGACCCGTGGTGAGAACATGAGTGACAAACTCGACTGAACGTCGGGTCCCCCTGTTTGTTCTTACCACATTTTGAGATCATCTTTGATCTACGTATGAACAGGTGCACGGTCACAGAATCTATTTGTTAAGTATTGCACGTATAAATTGTATCCCAGGGATTTTAGAGAGTATGGAGACTTTACAATTCAATTTGGGAGAGTTAATATAAGAAATCATCCTTTCCTTTCTTTATCCTTACCTGGCCGATTACTCAGCATGTGGATAAATAAAATAAATAGGAATTTAGCGATGGACATTCCACTACGTAGCCCTTCTTATCCACTGTTTTCAGGTGGAATTGGAATCAAAATTTGGGATGTGAACGAAGAAAATGGCATTAGGGGTGTGAAATACTTATCCTTTTAATTGTCCACTTGCTACTCTAAAGTACGTTTTGTGGAGGATATCAAATAGGTACTGTGACTATTTTACGGGTCTAATGACACAGAGTTGTTAAGGGTTGAAATAAATTCTAAGTTTACTTTTTGACTAATTAAGGCGGAGTGCCACTGCCAATAAACTTGAAGTGTTAACCTGGGCATCCAGAAAGCCAAAAAACAACAATTATTCCAGAAGGACTGGTAATAATAGCTACTAAAAGAATGTGAATTACAGACCAGAATTAACAAACATTGAAGGAAAGAATAAAGTGGACATAATTTTATTTGAAGAGAATTACGTTGAATATGATAAATTTAATTCAGTAAGTCAAGGAATTAAAGGTAAACTCCTTTGAAGTATGACAAACTTACCTAAGGGTGTGTTGAGACAAACACATTTCAAGTCAGTCCAGAAATTTTTGACAGCAACAGTGTTCGAGAACATGTGACGACGTGATACAAACGGTTTGCCTGCTGGAGGAAGCGCAGTCCTGTAGTTCTTTAGAGATGTTGTGGTATCCAATAGTCTTGTGCCCTTGTGCAAAAACATTCTTATCTGGATGGGAAAACAAGTTAAAAAAAGAAGCCAATTCAATGCGAATAAAAGCTACTTCCAGGAAATTTCTTTACATAAAGTACTGTGCAAAAGTAATACAAACGATTATCGTCGATCTCACTATAATCACCTCGCGCGAGGTAATTATAGCAGGGTCGCAAAGTTTCAAAATGGCTGCCACACGCTTTGTCAAGGTGGTAAACGCAAGAAAGTGATAAACGCAACAGAAGACTACTACTGAGGTTAATGAAACACTCTTCAAAAGTAAGGTGTAAAGTTTTTGCTGATTGAATCAAATAAACCTGTTAAAACAGCTTGCTTATCTTGCTCGACACAATTTTAGCAAAATATCCACAATGCTTTCTTTAGTTACAGAATCTACAACATAATTCTAAAGAACCTGAGCAATTATACTAAAACAATTACTCGCCTGAGGCTCAGTACATTTTGTTGAATAACCCAGCCCCTCGACTTTGTCTCGAGGATTATTCAACAATATTCACTTCGCTTAGCAAAGCTGGAAATCTTCCACATCATTCATCTTCAAACCTTACAAACTTTTCAATGTTGATGGTTAGACCACACACGCAACTACACGTGTTCTAGCAATGACACTTACATGGTTAAAACTGTGAGGGAATGGTTTAGCTGGAGTGACTAAACCCATTTGACACAGGCACAAGAGAAGCTCAAGTGGTGCTGGATGGTATCGCCTAAAATTCAAATCAATCATGAGTGTGCTACAATTACTCCTACAACATTTCTACAATGTATGGACAAATGGAACACCTCTTTCGTTGCGACAACATACACTCCTCTCTGTTTTTTGATAGAAGCAGCTAATTACAACATACACTCCTCTCTGTTTTTTTTAGAGAAGCAGCTAATTACTGCCACGAATCAATAAATGCCTGAGATTTTTTGCTTGGGTTTCTGATAGCTGCACTTAATTCAATCTTAGTGATACAAAGACAATTTAGGTTTGGTCCTGACAGAGATATCGAGGGAATTCCCACAAGATCAAAAATACCACAAAATTGTGAATATGACGGGTTATCACAAGCCTGATTTAAGCACCACAACTGTAATACAACATCGTAGGCGCCATGCTTGCAACTGATCTGTGTTTAGTAAATAAACCCCTTGAAATTGATTTGATTAATTGGTAACAGGACGTTGTTTCATCCAATTCTGTTTGTAAACATACATGTGATTACAAAATCGGACTCCTGCTTCGCGGTCGTCCGATTTTGTAAATCTCTCGTATGATTACAGATCGAACTGGACTCCAACCAGTCCTGTAACCATCATTCTAAAATAAAGTACAACATTATGGTAGTCACAAAGTAGGAAGGTTTAAGATTGACCCTATACACACTACTTCTAGAAAAAATATGGCTCAGCAAAGGTATATTCGATGTGCAAAAGCAAAAGTATAGCTGGATTCTTACCGAGTTTCCTTAAGTTTGATCCTTAATTGCTGAGGAAGATCACAGAAAAGTGTGTACTTTTTCACTGGATCAAAAGCATATTCATCAAAACCTTCCACCTAAGACCAAAGAAGAAACGTTAATCTTTTAAATTATCGAAAAGTTTCTCTGATGAACGCTCATTAGACCTCAATGTAAGAGTGAACTGGGGATAATCCAGAACTGCAAGGGATTTGCATAAATCAATAGTAAAGCATCTTCATTCATTACTTACGCCGCTTATTGTCTGGCGTGGTTAAGTTATGTAAAAAGATTGTGGCCGAGGCAATGAGCAGCTGGGTGCGAAAGTGCTAGCTACGAATAACTTCGCTTAAACTTTCCGGTTTGGATATCTCTTTTGAAATGCCCTAAATCTAAGCAGCAGATCATTAAATTCGGAGATATTGCACGTGGAAACATAGCATGACATTACGTAACTAGTTTCTATCGAGCAGGGCTACGTGATCTACGTCCGCCGGAATTCTGCGGCGTATTTATCAATGAGAATAGCAAAAGAAGATGACTGATTAATTCGTTAAAAAAAAAACACCTACAATAACAAATTAAATATGAGCAAAGAACAATGATACCTCCTCAGTTATATCAACTGTTTTGCAAAGTATGTTTAAAGGCATCACTGGCATCACATCAGCCAAACGAAACCAGCCTTGAAGTGGCTCTCCTGCCTCATCACACACTTTATTCATTGGTTTTAAGTGTTTAATCCACTCATAATCCTCATTCTCTGTTGCTGCTGGATCGTCACTCTCAAATAACGCTTCTTCTTGAGTGTCACTGGCTCCAGGCTCATCCACATCACTTGTGTCTGATGAAACTTCACCATAAACAAGCTGCCATAATAATTCATGAATCAACTGTAGTCTTGGAAATCTAGGCAAATGGCCATACTTTTGAGTTGAATGCTGAAAGAAAAAATATCAAGGCGAGGTATGAGTACAAGGAAATAAGTGCCAGTTAGGCCACAAGCGCCTTTGATTTACATGGCTAAGCTATTTTCAAAGGGGTAAGTTTCTAAAGAAACTGTGGTGCTGCGTCGGCGATGGTAATACAAGATAATTTGGTTTATCAACTGAGTTGATCATGTAAATAGGCCACCATAAACAGTTTCTAAAGCTGATGTTTAGAGCATGAGCCCTTCAGAGAAAAAAAGGACTGATGCACATTCCCAGAAATTGCTGCCACGCGATCTACAGCATTGTGCGACAGCTATGGCATCCAACCTTTGGGTTTAGATTGCATTCCAAACGATAATTTTTACATTTCAACGTTAAATTGAACACGACTCAATTACAGCACCCCCATGAGATAATTTCAGACTGTACCGTGAATTGAGGTTTTGTTGGTGTACTGTCTTCCTTTGAGTCAGTCTTTTCATGAAGCTGTTGTGCTTTCTTCAGTGCATCTTTTTCTTTCTTTTCAATTTTCTTCCTCTGCTTTTCTTCTTCAACAGATGCTGCTTTTTCAAGTTTTTTTCTTTCTTTTTCTTCTGCGATCTGCCTGGCTTTTTCCTCTCTCTATTGATATCAATACAACAGAAATACATTTATGAATGTTATTCACTAAAACGTTTAACTGTTGTTTCTCTTTTGTATTATACAGCATCAAATGGTAACTTCACCCTCCTTAAGAGAAAAATGGCCTTTTTCAAGTAGCTTCCTATACATGTACTTCTATTCATAATAATGCTACATATTCAGACAGGGCCCCGCAAGGCTTAATCATTCAAACTGCTCTTTGAGTTTATTTACTATGACCTTAGCTCATAGTAACAGCTTGCTGTTTTACAAATTTTTGTAACTTTGTTTGTTTGTACCTTTGCTTGTTTCTTTTTAAGAAAACACAGTAAGCAAAAAAAGGCAAGTGAGCATGAATTGTTGCATGCAGCAAGGTTTTTAAAGGTAAAGGTCAACATAGAGGTGTTGTGGTACTGAAATTCGAATTACAGTATTTAAAATGGTTTACATGCAAAATGAACAAATTCAGATATAGAGTATGACATCAGTACTCTGGTTTACATACTGATAGTTGATTCATAGGAACAAGAATAAAATTTCTGAAGCACACCACTGTTTACTTCTTGCATGGCTAGCAATTATGGCTGAGCTAATTCTGATCAGGTGCACTGTACCTCTGCATCTTTAAACATCTGATCTCTAAGTCTAACACGACACTGTTCCAACATAACTGCAACTTCAGAGTCATTACTGCTGATGGATGAATGTAAGAACAGGTCCACCTGTGAAACATACATATATAATCTGTGTAATGAAACTGATAGAG